CATGAAACTTGTAAATGAGTGTGAATTTACCAATAGCGATTTTGAGCTGTGATTTTTCTTTTTTAAATAAAATTCTGTACAGTAAGTCATTTTAATATTATACTGTTCCCAATGATTTTTTTTTTTTTTTTTCCTAAAAAGCAAATAGATATAAAAACTGAATTCTTTTTAAAACCGCCTGGATTTAGAGAGTGAAGTCCAGGGTTAGCACATTAGGTTAATGTGTTTGTAAGAAATGGAAGGGGAGGGGAGATGATTGTAAATGTATTTGTTTCCACTTTTCATAAACAAATTAGAATACAGGGTTGTCATTTTTAGGTATTAAAATAACGTATTGTGCTGTTGTTTAAGTACTGTATGTGAATAGCAGTAAGAGGGTTATAAACAGACCCAATTTTGTTTGGAAATGTAAATAGTTTTATTATATAGTAGACCTGATGTATTTGTTGTAGAAACGGACCAGTGAAACAAAAATGACTTTATGGGTTTGTATAATGTGGAATCCCTCATGCTCTAAATAAATGTTATTGTCCTATAATTTGGGTTCTATTATTATTAGCAGCAGCAACAGCATCGTTCCAAACGGGAAGACCGAATGGATTATTTAGAGCCCTGGGCCTACAAGCTCCTTATATGGAGCTTCAGAAAGGAATTTGTTGAGCCACAAATGAATTAACCAGTGCAGCTGTTGTGGTGAAGCAAGAAAAAGATTCCAAGGCCGCCCTCCAGGCCCGGGCTGTGTGCAGTGAGTGCTCAGCGAGGCACCCAGCAGACAGCTCTCCCGCAGACAGGCGCCCAGCAGGAAACGGAGCCGAAAAACGCGCAGCATTTGAAGAGATCTGGAATGACTGGCCTGAAGCGTGTCTGTGTGGGGCTGCACGGCCATGGCAGCGACTGTTTGTGTGCCCTGCCAGGGAAAGTAGGTCAGCCTCTTTGTTCCAGGGAGCTCTCATGGGGAGACATGGAGGAGTGAGTCGTCTTAGATGGCGGCTCGCTTTGTGCTCCAGTGGGTGTTTATACCTTTCCATTGTGCCAATGGATTTTTTACATTTATATTTAGGAACCCATTTAAAATACATGAATTGCCAGCTGCTACCTCCTGTAATGGCAGAAATAACCTATTTGTGCACAGGTAACCAAGCAAGGCTAACTTCTCCCCTTCCTCCCTCGCTGTCAGAGCTCAGCTCCTCGCTTTCTTTGCCTCTGAGAAGCTGTTGTGGTGTGGCAGTGCTGCCTCCTCCCGAAGGCCTGGCCGTGCCCTGCTGCTCACAGCCCTGTCCTGCACCACGGTGCTCTGAGGTTGGCTGCCAGGGAAAGCATCAGCTCCTGTAAGATTTTTGTCTTTTATTTGCATGTGTGCATATTTCACGCACATGCAGTCAGTTGGAAGCCAGCTGAGTTTCTGGGGTGACCTATTTTTACTATTTCCAGCTTTCACCATTTCTTAACCTCATTTCAGTTGTCCAGCTCTCAAAATTGGTTTCATTCCCTATGTGGGATGATTGGAAGACAAAGCAGACTTGCCCCCTGCCCCTCAGAAGTCTCATTGCGTGCAGGAGGAGGGGCTGTGCTGCAGTGCTGCTGTTCACATCCTGCCCGTCTGCCCACTCCAGCATTCTCCATGTTCTGGGCCTGGCCTGGCTGCTGCCACCGCCTGCCAGTTTTGGGGGATGAAGAACTGGACAAAGTTCACAGAACTGAAGGATCGTGTTTGCAGGCAAAGTCCTTGTTCTGTGAGTAGGAAGAGGGTGAAGCCTGAAGGTATTGGTGCTACATGTGAGAAAGCGAGATCTGCTTTTGAGCTTAGCTTCGGCCTTACCAACTGCAGCACTGCACCCACGAAGCAGAAGGGTTCCTTTTAATATCCACAGGGGGTTGTCTTATGTAGGAGGGGAAGAAAGGGGTGCACTCGGGATTGCAGAAAGCACCACCACAGGGGAAGCTGATGGTCATGACCTAGGGAGATGTGGGCAGGCCAAAGGAGAGGGTGCATGGGAGCCCTGGGAAAGGAGGGCTGCTCTGGGGAAAGGGTGGGAGGGCCTCGTGCTGGTGCTCACCAGGCAAGGAGAGCCTGGGGCTGGGAGCTTAACCTGGTGCTGGGGGACAAGTAGGGTCAGCGGGTGCTGATAATGGAGGTGTAGACAGTGGGTAAGGGAAGAAGTGAGCGTTCCCCTTTCCTTGGCACATGCCAGGCCATGTGTGGAATATTGTCGCCTGCTTTCCACACCCATCTGCAAGAAAATCGTACCTCAGTCCCCAGGATGGCCAGGGACAAGGAACGCTGGGTGGAAGAGGAGTGGATCGGACTCAGCCCTTCAGGTCCTGGAGCAGAAGCTGGAGCTGTGTGCATGGAGCTGCTCTGGGCAGCCACTGCTGTGGTCAGCCGCCTTTACTGTAGGCAGTCTTTACCTCCCACGTGAGTGGAACTTATTTCAAATGTCCTTACACTTTTCTTCCAAGTTTTAGGGCTTGCAAATGGGGAAAGAATTCTGCAATGACATCCCGTGCCACCCTCTTCTCATCCTTGTCTTCAAAGGGGACTGTTTTCTATTGACTCGTGTCTGTTAAGTACAGCATTGATTTTTCAGAATCTGTTTCAAGAACCAAAACCTCGTTTTGCAGACAGTTTGTAAACAGATGTACCGGTAGGTTTCAGAGGAATACACGTAAAATAGATTTTAAATATATATTTTTTTATTTCTTGTGTTTTTTCTTTATATTAGATTTTTTTCAGTCAAAAGACAGCATTACGATCTAACAACCGAACCCAGGTTACACACACACAGGCACACTACGTAACGTGCTCCAGGCAGCCGTGTCCCTCAGTCTGTTGACACGCGGCAAACATTAAACAAAGTCCTACAAGAAGTAGACACCCTTCCCCGACTAACCTCGCTTACATCGATTTAACACATCAACACACACAGAGGACGATTTCCCTTAGCGTTTGGAACGAGCGTTCGGTCCTACAGCATCGGTGATGTAGAAAACGTGGGGCTTTTTTCCTCCTCTCCCAAATCGCGGTGTCGGCGTCGTCCCACCGGTGTAAGGCATTGGGCAGCGCCGGGTCCCCTGCGGCAGGACGTGACGGTGGGCGCTGCTGCACAGCGGGGCTCCGCCGCGCCCCAACCCGCTCAGCATCCGAGCGAAGGCGTAAGGCATCCTGCTCAGCCCTGGCAGCGCTTTCTCCTCAGGAGAGCACTGGAGGGCAGAGCCGGACGTGGAGCGCTGTCCTGGGGCAGCGCCCGGCCTCGCGCACGGAGCGGTGAGGAGCCGTGCTGGGGGCTGAGCGCCTCGAAGCTGCCCGGCGGATTTAGCAGCTGAAAGGGGGCTTCGGGGGCGTTCCTCCTGTGAGGCTCTGCGGATCCCAGCGCCTGCTTTTTAAAGCAACGTGGAAACGCAGCAGCATTGAAAATGTAATTCCCAGTCATCCCTTGCATAGGACTTTTAACTGCGGTTCGCTAATTTATTCAAGTTCTGCAGTTGTTTAAGAAAAAAATGACAGACCATGAAAAAAGGGTGAAAGGCACATACACAGTCATACAGCACAGAGATGTACAATAAGTAAGTGTAGGTGAGTTTTACAAGCAGAATACCTAGTCGTAGGGCTGATACATATAAATAAAATGTTGCAATGCTCCATTGCTCCGTACGGGTATATTTATGATACAAGAAAAAAAAACGACTATTACTATTTTATTGTTACGCCTTGCACTTTCCCACCCCCCGCTTTCCCAAAGTGTAACTGTGATGAAACAGAGCTAAAGAAAAGATTTAGCAAGACCTGGGCACGCCTGCGACCAGCTTCCAATAAGTGTGAGTGGGGAAGGTGAAGGAGTGGAGGAGCGTGGGGCTCCCTATGGCTGCGCAGCCTGGTTTTAAGCTACAAGCAGGAATTTACAGTGCTGGTTTCTTTCCCCCTCTGTTTGAAGGGAATAAAATATTCTTGCCCCCCCAGCCCCGCTGCACAGACAATGCAAAGCAGCGGCAGGAGCTGTGCTGTCAGCTGCAGTGGAGCCAAAGCTCCCGTCAGGTCTGCACACTGTGAGCTCACACGCTGACAGGCACAGGGTGTGTGGCAGACTCCCTCTAACAGCATTTTGGTGACTGAGCTGGAAAAGCAACACCCCCAGTGCAGTGCAGAGGATGGGGCGGGCACCCCACACCTCGTCTGCCTGCGGGGCAGAACGGAAGAAATACAGCAGGGCACAGCTTCGCTCTTCCACAGAGCTGCACGGTTTGTTCTGCCTCACGTTATAAAGAAAGAGTTGTAGTTTTCAATAAAGACCTCTTCTAAGAAGCACAAAGGCCGTCTCCTGGTGCGTGGACAACGTGGCCTGAGGCCGGAAGACGCTGTGGTCACATTAACATAACAAGGACTGAGCCCTGGATTACATGGGGTAATATTCACGACTTTGAACCACTGGCAGCTGGAATCAAAGTGAAATCAAGGCACACCTCTGCAGGCCTGCTCTAACCGTGGGCATTCAGGGGAGGCCTGGGTGCTGCCAGGCACTGGAATTGATGCTGAGCCTCTGTGGGAGCAATCACGAAGCTGTGCCGTTAGTGTCTCAAGCCTCAGTGCAGGGTTATTTCTGCATTTTCTTGCTCTGAGCAGAACAGGACTGTGCTTCTTCCTGCCCGGTGGGGCTGAATAGAGAAGATGTAAACATAGAATTACCTATTCATTAGCAACGTGCCTGGAGGTACAGTGAATACTCCTGTGGAGGTGATCTTTGGGATGAGCTATGCATGAAGCCTTCTCCATTATAGAAAACCTGACTCTTGTGGAAAGAACCATTTCCTCCCTACAGTGAGCCTTCACAGCACTTGTTTTGGAAAGCACATTTGTGGCTGCGTTTTTCAGAACCCTCTGCCCCACCTTGCGGCTCCCAGTGCCAGAGTCAGAACTGGACAGCAGGACGTGGCTGCGCTGAGCTGCCAGAGTGGCAAAAGCAATCCTTGCCTGCCTGCCCCAGCATTGCTCTCTGACCCCAGTGCAGCAGACGGTGCCATCTGGCTGCCCAAATCCTGGGGCTTTCTCAAGGCGTCAGTCTGCGCTGGGTTATGTACAGCAGAACTGGCCTGCTCCATTCTAGCAGTACGACGTGGATCTGGGGATAAACACAAGGGAATCGGAGATAACACAGCACAAGGTTGCAGCTACTGCTCTCATGCCCATGCCCACACATCCCCACTCCACGCTGCCCAGGGGACACAGTGCACACAGCCCTACAGCTCTGCACAGATGAGTAACCACGGCCTCGTGGGCAGCAACGGAACCCACGTCCGAATGGAGGTGTCCAGAAAAGCACCCCATGATGGGCCCCAGCCAACTCATTTGTCCCTGAGCCCACGCTGCAGCTTCCCCTTGCACAACAAAACAAAGCCAAGAACTCCCCCCACTGCCCAAGCAGGACGCGGCCACAGCTCTCTCTGCTCTGTGCTCCCCTCCCGCCACGAGCACCACACAGCTACTCACAAATCAAAAAGACCGGATGCAAAAAACTAAAAACTCAAAACCCCAAAACAACCTACTGAACATCCACACCGGGTTTGAAAATATTTACACGTGCACACCTGTGCACACCAAAAAGTTCTCAGTTTTTAAGCACCTTTCATTTGTTTTAAGATTCAAGGAGGCTCGTCACCTCAGTGCGAAGGGTTTTCCTTGATCTTAGAACAGTGGGGCAGGAGATTTGGTATCAGGCTGGCTGGAGTGATCACCGTTGGACAGGACAGGAGCAGCACAGGTCTTCTGCAAAGTGCAGTTCAAAGGTGTCTCTGCCACAGCAACAGAAGTGTCGGTCACAAAGTGCGAGAAGTGAATCCACACCGTGTGCGGGGTTAATCAGTGATTAATAGATATTAATACATGAGCAAGTGTGCAAACAACAGAGGGGGGAACCACAGGAGCCTATTCACCATAGTAAGTGCACTCCACTCGCCCATGGGATGCTACGTCTCTGGATTAACCTCTTCATTAGAACACTGTTAATAATTTATTAACCTTTTATAAAGATATTATTGATGAAAAGTGTGATAGTAGTTCCACTTTTTTTCCTGTGTTGGCTGGGAGCAGCGTGATGACAGATGTCTCAGACTGGCACAGAAAGATGAAAGGAAAACAGAACATTCTGCAGTCTCTTCCCCAAAACAGGACGGAGCAACAGCATTTGCCGTTTGAAACAGATGATGGGAACCACTGAGGGCTCTGCAGGGGCTGTGGATGCCCTGGCGCCAGGAGGAGCAGGAAGCAGTGTTGACATGGTGAGGAGTCTCCTAGGGGGCAACGCTTGCAAGCAGCGGAGTGGACACAAGACACACAGTGTGCATGAGGCAGCATTCGGCCCAGGGGCTGCACGGTGCCCATCTGCACCTCTGAGCTGCAGAGGGGTGGAGGTGGATCCCCCAGCCTTGGCTTTGGGAGCTCCTTGCAGGGGCCATTGGGACTGGTGGCTGCTCAGATGTGCAGAACTTACAGCAGGTTGAGATGGCTGGGAGGCAGGAATTGCTGGCAGTTAGCTTCTTGATGTGCATTTGGGCTAGAGAAAAAATTCTTCCTCTGAAGGCATTGCCAACGGGGATATTATCCAGAGCTCTGGGAGAGAGCAGGAGTGTGGGATGTGACTCAAGGTATCAAACCCAGCCCTCCTCACCACACCGAAGTGCCCGAGAAAAGTACTGTCATCCTCAGCAGCGCCTGTGGCCACATTCCTACAGGAGCAGTGCTCCCAGTTTGTACCAGGGATCACTTCAGAAATAAAAAGGCATTTCACGTGAAGCCAAGGAAGCCGAAGGATGCAAACTTTCTTCTCAAGTCAAGGAATCATCCATCCATCAGTCTCCGGCACAGAAATGAAACTGCGCATCTTGACTGTGCCCAGGGTGGGCAGGATGAGGCACTGACCCCCAGTTCGCTCCTGCTCTGCTCTGGGAACAAGCTCTGCAGCTCTGTGCTTACCAGAACAGCTGGAAAAGAAGCACAACAGAACTGCCTGTTTTCTGCCTCAGAACCTTCACTCTGCCTGCTACTGAAATTAGAAAGGAGAGTTTGAAATGGGGGTTCCTGTTAGGAATGGGACTGGCCGGCACTGGGCTCCCAGCAGCATGGCAGCCAGCGCTGTGCCCAGCAGGACCGGAACGAGTAACTGGCCTGGAAGAATTGAATCTGGAAGGCTCCAATGTGTGGCTTAGAATAAAAGCATTTGAAATAAATTTCCATTCTTCCTGTGCTTTTGGGATCACGGTGTCATCAGAGCTAAAGGTAAGCCCTGCAGGCAAGCAGTGCCACCCACGTCCGCACTCAGGGACCTGGGAGGCCGCTCGCTGGAGGAGGGTCTGGGGGTGGGTTTTTCTCTCATTTAAAAAAATAAAGTCAGCAGTCTGAGGTTGGGCCTACAGTGATTGCCTAAAAGCAGCTCCTACGCCGCCATTCCAGGGGTTCCCAATGGTGAAGGGCAGCAAGTTCCAGGGGCCGGCACTGGGTGCCAGGAGGAGCCTGAGTGCAGCAGCACCAACAAGCATCGCCCAGGCCTGGAGGTGGCTGCCATCAGCGACACAGTGTTGGCGGGGGCAGGCAGGGCTCCCTCTGTGGCACAGATCCAGCCTGCAGCCCTCCTGCTGCCTGGCCTCATGCTGCAACCACTGGTTTCCATCCTTTCCTTCACGTTCTTTTGCCGCCAGCTCCAACGTGCTTCTGCCACCTGGGGGTCTGCGCGGGTCCCTTCTGCGCTCTGCTGCTGGGGGTGGCGCAGGGCAGCTGATGTTCCTTGGCTCGCACAGCACAGGAGCTGTGGCTGCTCGTGGCCGTGGCGTGGTGGCGCCGGGCGCGCAGATGGAGGCTGCGGGGATCCGCCGCCGTTCCCGCGCCGCACCAGCGCCTGGCCGCCACCTCCCAGCAGGGCTCCAGCAGCTCCCGGCTCAGTGCTTTGTTTCCTGAGATTTCTGGTAAAGTTGTCTTTAAAAACAGAGAACGCTGAGCCCCCCTGGCTTTCTGAAGCAAACGGCAGTGGGGTTTTCATATTAGTGTGGTAAAAACGCAATGAAGAATTTTGGGCAGGAAGAGGGATTGCTGGTTTTGCCGATATGGAGCCGCCGAGGGCCCAGCAGCGCTGCCGGCAGCAGCGACAGCAGCTCCGCCTGTGCTCTGCTCTGCCGGCAGGGACGGGAGGAGGAAGCATCATCAGTTACAGCGTCGTCTTTTTTTCCCCTCAAACACCAAATCTCGCCTCTGTCCCTTTCGCCACTTCTGCTCGGCATCGTGACATCGCAGTCTGTTCACCTGGAGGAGTACGACGTCGTGAAGAAAGGCACTGATGTCACAGCTCCTCAGGACGCAACCATCGGGATTCTCCACGGGTTTAGGGAAGGGCTGTTTCGGGGTAGCGGCCGGCATGGCTCAGCGCAGAGCGCCGCGCTGCTCCACCGTCCGCACCACGCCGAGCGGCGGCCCGGAGAGGTGAGGGGAGCGGAGGGAGCGCGGGGCGGCGGCGCCGGGGCCGGCGGCGGTGGGAGGCCGAGCCCCGCCGGCGGATGCCGGGGCGAGGTCAGTAGTTGCAGTGGCGCTGGCAGGGCTGGTGGAGGAAGCTCCCCGTGCGCTGGCGGGCCCGGCGGGGCGGGCGCTGGCGGGCCCGGTCCTGCCGCTGCAGCGCCTTCTGGCTGAGCCACGGCTTCTCGGCCAGCTGCTTGGCCCGCTGCACGCGCCGTGCCTGGCTGATCTTCTCCAGGACGGCGGCCTTCACTGACAGCGATGCGCTGCGGTGCGGCGCGTGCCGCTCCAGCCGGGGCTCCGGCACCTCCCTGTGGGAAGGCGGGGCCGTCAGAGGTCGGTGGTGCCCAGGGCTCCCATCACGCATCCCGCACACAAGCCGCCCTCCTGTGCCCCGCTCCATGCGGAGCCCATCCCCACACGTCGCCACGCGAGGGCTGTGGGATGCTCTGGGCAGGACCCTGCTTGGCCAACGCTGCCACCAGCGTGCTGAAATGGGCGGGAGCCGAGCGCAGCCCATGCCCTGTTGTGCCCATGCTGCTCCCAAAGGAGATTCGCTCCCCTGCCTGTTCCTGGTTCCCCTTGGCCTCCCTCCTCCCTCACCACCAGCACTGAGGTTCCTCTAGAGATGGCACCGTGGCCCTCAGAAGGGCTTTGCAAACAGAGGAGGCCAAGAGGGACATCATCCCCTGGCCAAACAGATTCACCCCCAGTTCTGCCTTGCAAGGCTAGGTAAATAGTAAAGCTGTGACACGGAGAATGCTTCCCTACCCTGGGGGAAAGGTTCGCAGGGACAGGGCAGCAGCAACCCAGCACAGCAGCACCAGGGTTGGGTCAGCTGGATGCGGTCAGGGCTTTCCTGAGCACTGTGAGGGAGAGCCATGGGGAGAAGACAGAGCTCCCCAGGTGCAGGAAGGGCAGATCATGGGCTGCATCCTGCAGGCTCCCAGGGAAGGGGATGGCAGGGGGTTTTGTTTGTGCCTCGGTTAGGTGGCAGATTATGGCATCTCTGTTTAACTATCCCCATTACGCTGGAATATGAGTCAGAAAGAAAGGTCTGCACCCACATGTGGTGGGTGAAGAAGAGATCACCCTGTCCCACTGCTGCACACAGTGGGAGTGTGACCTGAGCCAGCAGAGCCAGGAGGGAGAGCTGGTGGCAGCAGGCTGCAGCATTCCCCTGTATGGGGAAAATGGGGGCTCAAGGACACCGATGTGCTCAGGGCCACCCTCTCCTGGTGGGGCTTCTCTGCTCATGCTGTACTTACGCAAGCCACCAGGCTTAAGCCCAGCCTGGCAGTGGGGTGACATGGAATATGCAGGAGAGGAGCAGGACAAGGCCAGTGCCTTCCCAGCAGCAAGCAAAGGTTTCACGTGGCCAGTCCCATGCCCACAGTCATCTTAACACAGTTCTAGTGCATGCCAGAATACTTTCAGGCATGGAGGCTGCTGTCTTTGCATGGCGCTGGCCAAGGCACCCTGCCAGGTAGGACAAAGGGACACTGGTGTCACTGACCCACAAGATGGCTTGGATTGGAAGTGACCTTCAAAGATCATCACACCCAAACCCCTGCCACGGGCATCTTTAACAGACCAGGTTGCTCCAAGCTGACCTTAAACACCTCTAATGACAATGGGCATCCGCAACCTCTCTGATCAACCTGTCCCAGAGTCTTATCACCTTTGGCATTAAATATTACCCTAGGCCAACCTCTTCAAAGCACCGACCCCAGGTCCCCCCAGGGTTTGGGCAGCACAGGCAAAATGTTGCAGGCTGTGTGTGGCCGCCCCGGTCCCTGAGCTCACACTCACCCGGCAGCATCGTCCTGAGGTCCCTCTGCATCCAGCTCGAGGGTGCTGGTGACATAGACAGACATGCTGGGGTGCTCGATGAGCAGGTCCTCCATCGGGCTGCTGCCCACGCCGTCGGGGCCGGGCTCCTCTGCAGTAAAACAGGGGGGAGGGGTGACAAACCAACTCTCGTCCATCAAGCAGGGGCTGGGCAGGGTGGGCGTGGGGCTGCCGGTGTGAGCTGGGACCGGGGCCGGTGGCGAGGCAGGTGGTGGCGCCGGACGGGGCCGCACCGAGCACCCGTGGCCACCAGCCCCTGCCCGCCGCTGTGCACCGGGGTGGGCAGCACCGCCTGGGGAGCAAGCGGGGTGCAGAGCCATGCGGGGCGCAGCGGGGACACACACACACCATGTACAGTGGGGAGAGGGGGGAGAGAAAGGGGCATCGTTAGTGTGCGAGGCACCCGGGGCATCGCCGCCGCAGACGGGCGCAGCGGGTGCCAGCTGGGCGGCCGTGCCCTGCGCCCTGACCCTGCACTGGTTTCTGGTGGGTGGCTTCACCAAAAGTTGGGGAACTTGGCAATAATTATTTCCTTTTTATTTTTCTTTTATTTTCTTTTCCTGAAGCAGAGAAAGAAATTTGGCCAAAGCTAAAAAAAAAAAAAAAAATCCTTGCTTTTGTCTGCAAGCTTTCCTAGATCTCCTGAACTGTGCCATTCAAGAAAGGCAGCAAACTACACCGTGCACACGTGGAAGCAAAGCACACACAGTGCGCACCTTTTCCCTGGAAAAAAACCTTTCCCTTGGAGTATCAGTGCTTCACCTGAAGTTTCCACAGCGCCTTTGACTTCAGCCTGCCGGCCGCTTCCTCCCGGCCAGCTGAGCGCACTGCCTCGCAGCCACCAGGACCCGCTCTGCTGGGGAAGGGCACAGCACAGTCTGTAGGGACAGCGCTGACCCCGCTGCCGGCTGAAGGCGCAGGAGAAATCAGAGGCAAACATGAGCCTGTGCTGCCTTAACAGGCTGGAAAAATTACGAAGCACAAGGCAGGTGTTTGCCTTCTAACACGCCCCAGCTCCTCGAACCTGGGACAGGGCCTGCACAATTAGTCCTGCAGACAGGACAGCACCTGGCTGCAGGTCAGCAGACAGCAGGTGAGGAACAGCTGTGGCTGCACCAGGCTGCAGATTGCTTGCCAGCAGCAGACAAGCATGCTCCCAGGACACGGGGCCATACGTGCTAAGCTGTCCCCATCCATCTCAAAGAGGGCCCTGGACACACGGCTGCCCACACCACATGGACTTGCGGCTGGGAGCCATAACGTTGAGTTGTGCCCCACGGGGCCATGCACTCAGGTGCATTTTGCACTGCACAGGTCATAGACCTGGAGGCTGCTGGGGGACAGCCAGGCTGCGAGGTGCTCGCGTGCCACAACACAGAGGCCGGGGCTGAAGCCAAGAGGCTTTGGTTTGGAAGCGCTTCGCATAACTCCGGGCTCCAAAATAGGGCTGAACTAACTCGATCCCTCGCTGGCTGGGGAACGCTTAGGCAGCCATGGTGCTGGCAGGGATTAGCAGCAGGGTGCCAGGTCCATGCCGGCTCCCTGCCGAGAGCTGGCTCTGCACCAAGGGCCTGGCTGCTTCAGTTAAAAAACAAAAAATCACCCAGAAAAACAGGAGCCCCTCAAACCACAGCCAGCCCTGGAGCCCCACTGAGGCTGCAGGCCCCCACCCACGGCTGCAGGACACAGATCTGTGTTTCTCTGCTGGGGGAAAACTCGTGGCTCCTCCTGGCACGCTTTGGGCACACTGCGGCCACTGCCAGCAGCAGGACAGAGGCCCGCTGGCCCCCGTGCACAGCATCTGCACACCCGTGTGCAAGGAGCTCTTTGCATCCCCTCCCACATCACAACTGTGACCCCAGGAGCACTTCAGAGCCCATGTCACCCTCCTGCCCAGTCCAGATCTCTGCAGTGCTCCCACTGTCACTGAGGTGCCCCAGCCCCCCACCCCGGTGGGTCTGTGCTCCAGTCCCTCTGCAGCTGACTTAGAGATCCCTAAGGAACAACTCACATCAGAAAACTGAGCTCTCCTTGGTGCGTGAGAGACAGACTCATAGAACAGTGCCCACCTCAAGGGGGACAAGCCCCAGCCTTGGACTGGGCTCTGTGCTCATGAGAGGCTGCAAAGGCAGCTGGTGGGCACTGAGGAGCAGCAGCCCAAGGCCTGCAGTGCAGACAGCTGTTTGTGTGTGCCTGTGCAAGCAAAAGGTCACAAAATGATCATTGCAATCAGCTGAGTCATCGACCATACAATAGCAACCCAAGGATCTTAATGGAGCTGGAGAAGCCCTCATGCCCAAGGAATGTGTTTGGCCTGGCTGCTGTCAGGGGGGCCCAGCCAGCCCTGGAGCAGAAAGCATGGAGGGGCTCCCCAGGCACAGCAGCAGACATCACCTGAGTGCCCCAGGCACACTTTGGGCAGACAAACACTTACAAAGACTTTTAGAGAGATTTTTCACTCCTTGGTTGGCCTCAGAAGACCCCAGCACATCACAGAGCTGGAGATGGCTGCAGGGGATGTGGCTGTCATCCCTGCCTGCCCTTGGCTTAGCCAAGGCCACAGTGCTCTGCCCCCGCTCAGTGAACAGGTGGGATCACTCCAAAGCCTGGTTCTGCTCCTGACCTGGCACTGTACAGGGGTCCCATCCTCGCACTGAGGGCTCAGGAGCCCCAGGGCAGCATCTCCCCACTAACGGGCAAGGTATGCCATCACAGCACTTGTCCAGCACTGGAGAGACCCTTCAGCAGCTGTGTGAAACCTTGCTTTCCTCACCTCCAAGCTCGATTATGAGCCATCCATCCTCCTCCTCCTCCTCAGAGACAAAGGGTTTGGGCTCCTCCAGGCCCTCTGGTGTGCTGCTGTCACTGAAGAAGAGGCTGGTGAGACGCTGGAACATGGTGGGGAGCAGTCAGGTGGGACAGGAGAAAAGCAGCTGCTGAGCACCCGCCTCAAGTGGGGATGGGCAGATAGGGCAGGGCACAGAGCTCAGCGGTGCTGGAGGTCCTTCCTTGGGGCAGGAGTGCTTTGCTGAAAGTCTTTGCTGAGTTGCAGGGCGCGTAGCGCAGTTATAAGGTTCTTCACTTGGCTTCAGTGCAAAGGCCTGCAAAAGGGAACAGGGGCATTCAGGCCAGAGGAGTGGTGTCAGTGGGGACAGCAGGAAGGCGTTCCCAGCCCCTGCTGCAGCAAAGGACGCACTGCATGTGACTTCTGTTAGAAATGTGCACTTGCTGGGGATGGGCTCCAAGAGCTTGGGGAGCACTCTCACCTCCAGAAGCCTCACTAGTGCTGAAATCTGTTTTGGGCTGGTTTAATTCTGAAAGCTGTTACTGTTAGATTCTCTGTGGGTTGTTTGCAGAGATGCTCTTCTCAAGCAGCTGCATGCAGCTGCATTGCCACCCTCCGGCTCTGGAAGGTGACCCTATCACACGTGCCACCACTGCTACTTTACAACAAAGCCCCAAGCCTGTACCAGCCGAGCCTCCAAACCCAGCAGCGCAGGGCACACACACAGCCACGTATGTGGAGACGGCCACTCACACCCATCCACACCCCAACTGCATCCGCTGGGTGGGCACTTCAGCACAGACTCACTGCCTTGTGTGCCTGCTGCACCCGAGCTGAGGGAACAGGGGCAGAGCCAGGGCTACACAGCAGGACTGCTGCAGGCAGTGAGCGCACCACGGCCCGGGCAGGGCGAGGGCTGTGTCACCCAGCCCTGGGCAGCGCCCTCCTCCAGCCAGGCCTTATTACTGCTCCAGTTTTCTGCTGGGGAAGAGTTCCCCACAGCTCAGCGTGGGGCCAGCACTCCAATTTCATTAATGGCCGCAAAGCCCTCAGAGAGCCGCAGACAGATGGCAGACACAAGGTGCAGAGTATTAACCGTGCAGAGAAAATGCATTTGGTCCAGAGACAAAAGGACATGAAAACACCCCCGGGGCTGGACATGGAGCAAAGCCCCCACACTGACAGCAGCTGGGATCCTTCTGTCCATCATCCTGGAAGGTTCCCTCTGCAGCACTGAAGCGCAGCAGAGGAGCTTCCCTGGTCACGCACACGGCCATGGCAGTGTTCTGCCCCGGGACCACGGCCACAACCACAGCACAGCATTTCCAGCAGCATCCATCCGTGCGTGCGCTCATCTCTAAACCATCAGGCAGCCCCCTTTCCTGGAGCACTAAATCCTAAGAATAAAAATACACCATGGAAAAGGCAAACAAGGGTGATGCACCCACTGGGCTCCCTTAGGTGCCAGACGCCCCCCAGCCCACAAGGGGCAGCCCCAGCTGCGGCTTCATCTCACACTCAGTGGGGCAGAGAGCGCCAGGGCTACGCGGGGACCCACGGCAGCTTCGCCCTTTGAGGACGGCAGCGCCGGGTGCCGCCGCGTTCATAGCGGCACAGCGGGATGCTGCTGACACACCGCACCGCGGCGCAAATCAGGTGCGCGAATCCGGCACACGTGGGAAGCGCTATTTTCAGCGCACTTCGCCTAAATTAGACAAGCGCCCGCAGGGCTGCTCTTCGCACACACGGCATACCAAAGCCCTGACCCCTGCACCGCGACACGGGGACGCGGACACGGGGCGGCCCCGCTCCCCTCCCCCCTCCCGCCGCCCCGCGGGGTGACCCCGCGCCTCGCAGCTCCCGGCGGGCGCTTCGCCACGCAGCGGCCCCACGCGCAGCCCCGCAGACGCCTCCCGCCCCACCGAGCCGGGCCAGGCCTGCAGCCGGGCACATCCAGCCCTGCCCACGGGGCGGCACGGGCTCATCCTCGAGGGAAACGCTTCCCCCGCGTTCTTCCCGTTGCACCCAATTGCACGAGCAGCAGATAAGGCGACAGCTTGGTGCGGTAAGATCCTCAGCGTTATTTCGGAGAATTAAAAATAATAAAATTTATTCTTCGGGAAAAAAACAAACAGCTGTCGTTGGAGCCCCGCGTGCCACCCGAGCGACGCCCGTTCCCGCGGCAGAACCGCAGCCGAGGCCGCGTCCCGCAGCACGAGGGCGCCCGGGGGCCGCGCGGAGCGGCGGTGACGGCGGCGGAGCCGAGCCGGGAGCCCCGCGGGCACGGGACACGCGCCGCGACTCGTGAGGCCGCGGGAACGCGAGCGCCGCATCACCGCGGGGCTGCCGGACGACACACCGCCGTGCCCCCACGTCCCCACGGACAGCCGCCATCTCCAACCGAACCGCCCCGCCCGCTGAGGCCCCAGGCACGGCGCGGTGACCCCGCCGGGAGGTGCCGCCGCCAGGCCGGGGCCGTGCGGGGTCACGGGAGGACACTGCGGGGGGGTGGGGGGGAAGGAGGCGGCCTCGTGACGTCCCAATGTCATATGGAAATGAGGCGACGTCACCGCAGCCTTCCAACCCGGCGCGGCCAATGGGAGCGGGGCGCAGGCGCCGGGCTTAATCCGGCGGTGCCGAAACAAACAACAGCGCTGAGGGGGGGGGGGGAGCGGCCCCGACCCGGCTGCCCCGGCCCGGCCCCGTCCGCCGCCAGACAAAGGCTCCTGTGGAGTCCGGCCCGGAGCCCCGCCGCACCGCCGCCCGCCGCTCCCGGACACCCGCCCACCCCGGAGCCCCCGTCCCCCGCAAGGCGCACTCACCCTGCCGGTATCGGCACCGGGCGCTGTCAGAGGGCGGCGGCGCGGCGCCGGCGGGCGCGGAGGTGGCGGCGGGAGCGGGCGCCGCGGGCGGGACGTCCCCGGTTCTGCTCCACGGTTCTGCTCCGCGCCCGCCGCTGCCCCGCACAAATCGGGACCTTCCGACAGCTGAGCGTGACGTCACAAAGCGGCCCGCCCGCCCCCGCCCGCCGGCCAATGGGAGGCGACGCCGCGGGAGGCGGGGCGGGGCGAGACGGCGCGGGGCTGCGGCGGAGCTCGGCCGGGGCTGCGGGACTCCCGCGTGCCCCTTGCGTGGCTGCTGGGACCGGCCGTGCCCGGGCCCCGTTAGGGGCGGGAGGGCCCCTGTGCCCCGGCCGGCAGAGCCCTGGGCGTCGGGTGGACATCGAGCCCTGCTCTTTCGCGCTCGGCACGGACCGAGGCGGGCGGATCCCGTGCAGAGTCCGTCACGTGGCGGCGGGAGGCAGGAAATGGTCCGTGAGCGGACGGAGCGTTACGGGCACGGTCATCAGCGGGGCGGCGTGTCTGCGTCACGGCCCGGGCTCGCGGCACAGCGGGTGGCGATTCCCCGCCGCCAGTTCACCGGGGGCGGAATTAAATGGAGACTTATTGGAACCTGCGCTTCTCCATTAAATAACGCCGTGCCGGCAGTCCCGCGGCCTTGGCGCAGCCTGCGCGCCGCCTACCAGGAGCGCTGCGCCTGCGGGAACGGCGGGGCTGGGAGCAGAGAGCGGGGTGCGGTGGCGCGGGGCCGCTCGGAGCTGCCGGAATGGTGGCACTGCGTTTGGGCCACTGCAGAAAATTACACGGCAGGCAGGTTGGCTTCACCGAGCTGCTTTTGAGATGCAGCGCCGAGAGCTCCTGGCAGAGAGCGCGGCCGGCGTGTAATGCCAGCGCTCCGCTTCGGCGCTGGCGCCAGCAGGCAGCACGGCGGTCGGGTAGGGCTCTCATTTCTCTTCCTTTGTTAAAAACAGAATGCTGGGTCCAGCCATCCAGAGCCCTTGAAGAGACGAGACGCTAGGTAATAATAGCATGGCAGAATCTTTGCAGAGCCCTCTCAGCACTGCCTGCAGCAGCGGGGCACAGGCAGGGCTGGCAGCCTGTGTGGGGTATCCACCTACCACCACCGTTTCCCACTAACCCATGTACATCTGAATGTTTCTTAACACCTCCAGGGACGGTGAGTCCACCGCCTCCCCAGGCAGTCCATTCCAGTGCGTGACCACTCTTGGAGACGGAATTTTTCCTAACATCAACCTGAACCCCCCTGGTGCAACTTGAGGCCGTTCCTTCCAGTCCTGTCACTATTATGAAGGAGCAGAGGATGAATCCCCTCCTCAATCCCCACCACAACCTCCCTTCAGGTAGCTGTAGAGAGCAATGAGGGGAGCCTGAACCTGCTCTTTTCTGGTCTGAACAATCCCAGCTCCCTCAGCCACTGACATCTGTGCCCCAGACCCCTCACAGCTTCTCTGCCCTTCTCTGAACACACTCAGTGTCTTTCCTGTAGTGAGGGGCCCAACACTGGTCACAGTACTTGAGGTGATCCAGCCCTGTCCCCTTCGGAGGTGCTCTGGGAGGTGCCCCCAGTAACCCACCCTGCAGGTGTTGGAGTGCCTGCCCTCCCGCAGCCCCTCCGGCTGCTGTTCTCATTCTGGTTTCTCCTGCTGCTGGCACCAGCTCACAGCCCACGGTGAGCATGGGGACACCCGCTCTGCCTGTTCTGGAGGTGGATAGATCCTTCTCTGGAGACACCTCCTTGGGACGGCCATGAACCCCCAGCGAGGGGCTGTGTGCCCACTGTGTGCTCACAGTGATTGCAGCCGTGGGACAACCACGACAGCCCCAAGGAGCAGCCCTGCACACTGCACCTGGGGATATGGGGAGGCTGCGCCCGGGGCACAGGCAGGCTTCAGCCCATGGCCTGGGATGGAGACAGTCTGGGGCGTTGGGAGCCTGCAGCCAAGGTCTGGGGCTGCTCCCAGCACAGCCCTCCAGCAGCAAAGGAGTTCACCTACAGCAAATAATGGAGAGCGCTAAGAAAATGCTGAACATCAGGTGGTGACCTAACTTGACATAAATCTGAGTGTTAGATTTACACTTCTCTGAAAAGAAAAGAATAATAAAAAAAGACTTTCTTTGCAAAAATGAACATGATAGAGGCATTCTCCATTCATTAAAACAAGCAAGCAAGCAAACAGACTTGCACTCTATTTCAAATTAGGGTAAATTGTCCCTAAATAACCATTTGTGCAAGAAAGTCACCAGCTGCCTGCCAGGCAAAGCCAAGCACCCTTTGAAGCAAGGACTGCAAAGCATGTGGACCTGGTGGGGCTGCCCGAGGCAGGTACACACAGCAGTGGGACACAGGGCTGCCTGCGGGGGGAGGTTTGGTTTTCTCTGCCCAGCCCCTGCAGGGCATCCTGCCAGCATCCCCACCTGACCCGGCCAGAGCGCTCTGACTCAGTGCCCCTGTGACTGACGTCTTGTTTTCTACCAGCTCCTGGGTTGGCTTGGGGACAGGAGGAAACGGGAGCCGCTGGGGTGTGCTCAGTCATCCTCCCCAGGGTGGTTTTGGGGTGCGTGCCTCAGCCAGGGGCTGCCTGTGAGGTCACGGTGTCTGATGGCCACATGTTCAGGGAAGGTGGCTTCATAACAGCAGTGGCCCAGTGAGAAAGCAAGCAGAATGTTCCCTCCAGCCTTGAAAAAATCATGTTGGGTGTCAGGAAGCGGTGGGAAAATTTGCCTCCCAACCTCCCTAATCTTTGATGGGGAGAAAACTGGGGAGACAAAGATGAGGGGAAGCTCTCAGGCTGCCCAGCTCTGTGTCACTCCACAGCACCAGAGGGGACGAAGGCCAGGCTGCCTGCAACCGGAGCTGTGCTCCTGACATTTCCCTGTCTGGAAGGCGACACTGGAGCTGCGAGCTGCTGTCCCCGTGGGAAACACAGCTGTGCCTGTCCCTGCAGCCTGGGCAGGCACCTAGGGCTCCCTGGGAGGTCAGAAGCCCCAGGAGCTGCTGTGCTCAGGGATGGCACTCTGTCCCGGTTCACCTGGGGTCTGGCCTTGCTCAGCCTGCAGGGCCTCCCCAGTGTCTACCCTGAGTGCTCCTCATCTGTGCCAGTGTCTGTCCTTGCAGTGACTTCACCTGCACTGACGTTATATCTTCAGCCTGTGATGTGGCAGCCTGCTGCTGTCTGTGACAACATGTATGGATTAGGGGCACAAAGGAGGCTGCCAGGGGGAACAGACACGGGGTGGTGCTTTCCATATGCTGCCATGAGCTGTGTTGGTGCAGAGATTCTACTTAGCAGTTTTTTATGCCCCTTATGATCAAGATGGCAAAGCCAGGTATAAAAAGTGGGAGAGGGATCTAGAGTGCTAACGGAGAGCCTGGGGCAGGCTCCTCTATTACAGTTTCCTCCTCACTGAGCCCCTTGGCTGTATGGTAGCGTGGAGGGAAGTCCATGGAGCCTCATGGCACAGCCAGCCACAGAGCTGTGTGGCACCAGGACAGGGGATCTCTGCCTGTTATTGGTAGAGGAATGGGGCGGCTCAGAGCCATGCTCCCGTTATCACCCAGCACTGAAACCCAAGAGAGCTCCCAGTATGGAAGGGCAGCTATAAATGTCCTGCCCCGAGCAGCTTCTGCTATATTGAGGGGAGGCAGGGAACACTAAAGTCTTCTCTTAATCCACAGTCTGGTTTTGTGCTGAGATGATGGGAACAGATCCCCGGGTGCCTCCTCAAGATTTTACATGTGCACATTGCTGCTCCCACCATCTTGTCCTCCCCATGCCCACCTCAGGGACCTGAAAAACAAGTTCCTGAACATCCTAAAGGCCTCCAAGTGATGAGTGAGGCTGTGACCTTGGCACCTGGCTGCAGAGAGCAGCAACGGTCACAGCAATTCTGGCAATGGGGCTGTGGAGTGGAGAGCGGGAGAGGTCCTGGGCAGTCTTTGCTATCCATGCACCATCCTGGGACCTCTGACACATACAAGAATCTTTAAACAAATGCATGCAGCCCTGAACACAGCAGGTTCCCTGGCTCACACAGCCCATGTGCTGGCTGCAGGCTGAGCACAGGCCACAGCAGGGCACAGCAGGGCACAGCAGGGCACAGCAGGGCACAGCCTCGAGAGCTCAGCCTGGCTCTGCCAGGTTCACCATCCTGGGGCTCAGCATTGAACCTGCAGTGCTCCCTGGGCCACATCCCTGCTTGTTGCTTGTGGGATCGCCGCCCTGTCCCAGCAATGCCGTATGGCTGCTCCTGCAGAGCCCTTGGAGAGGCCCAGCTTGGCCGCTGGATTCAATGGCCCAGAGGGTGACCCGGCATCTGTGCCCATCAGTTTGCATGTGAGGCAGTGGCCTGCCTCAGCACAGAGCTTCCACAGACACTGACCTTACAGAGCAGGAAGGTCCCTGCTCCCAGGCTCTCCTGCTGGGCCCTGGCAGGCACCCAGCCTTGCACTCCTTCCAGCACAGCTGCCACCAGGCCCAGCCATGACCACAACAGCACCGGGCCCAGAGCGGCCATCAGAGCCTCATTGCGGTGTCCATGGAGGAGAAGCTTCGTCTGAGAGCTTCGTCTGAGAGCTGCCCAAGCAGCAGAACCTCCACCCTTCTCCCACCATCCACATTGCCGCCGCTGCTGCTGCTAAGTCTCATTGGAAAAGCAGAGCTCTTTCATGTTGTTTTGGAAGAAAGGCTTTTGTGCCTCTTTTAGCAAGGAGAATTTCTCCCTCTCGGTTGTTGTAGTGCTGAATGACCATCACAGCCCAGCTGCGGTGCGTTGTGCTGCGGTGACAGCAGTGGGTCTGTCTGTCACTGGGTGCTGCAGAGCTGTCCCCATGTCCCACCTCAGCCCTGCAGAGCCCAGAGCCTGGACCTCAAACTCCTCCTGCAGGGCCCAAGGAGGAAGGAAAAAGGGCTTAAGACATTACTTTCTTTCTTTTTTGCAGTGCTAATAACCCAAAAAGCCCATTTGCCTTCTAGCACCTTTCTACACATCTGGGTGTTGGAGGATGCTGAAAACCGGGAGGCTTGGAACCTGTGATGCAGCCGGGCAAGAAGGGGCCTTAAGTCAGCACTCAGCCCCAAAATAGCACAAGAAGGTTATCTGGAAAATGCACTAAGTATAGACAAAGCAGCTCAGGCCCAGCGCAGCACAGACAGCCCGGCACGCGGCAGCCCCTCGCAGCCCATGCGCCCCACAGTGCTGCCCACACAGACCACAGCCCAGCTGGGCACCAGCATCCCGCAGCTCCACGTGTCTCCTATGTTCTCTGATTTCTGAATTACCAGGATTAAAATTAAAACCTCCTCCGAGGACGGGGATCGAGATAACAGCAGGAAATGTGTTGGATAGGACTAGGTCTTGGCACAGAGGGCAGAATTGTTCTAGGCAAACTCCCTGACAGAGGTCCAAAGCCCCCGAGGCCCGCACAGCAGCCCTGAAAGTCACAGCCAGGGCACGAGGTGCTCCGTCAGCGGGGGCCTGACCGTGCACTTGGTTTGTGGATTTGGGGTAAATTCCTCCCCAGGCATGTCTGACACAGCCGCACGGGGCTGCGGAGAGGCACCTGAGAGCGAGCACACCTCCTGCACCGCTGCTCCCCACCTCTTCCTCATTTCCAGCTATGGTTTCAGCCACAGAAGGAACGGGTTTTGTAAGGTCAGAAACACAAACACACTGCTGAGGTCAGCAGCCAGACCTTCCCTGACGTGCTGGGCCACAGCCCACCGGGCTGTCACTTCTCTCACGAAAGCTGTGTCACAGTGTTGTAGATAAGCACTCACAAACAGCACCCGGCCCTTCTGTCCTCACCTGTGCATGCATTGCCACAGCCCAGCACAGTCTCAAGCCCAAGGAGGGCCAGGGAGGCAAGGCCAGGAGGGAGCGGGGTGGGATGGGTGGCTGAACATGGGCTGGTGCCCTGTGAGCCCACCTTAACGGCAGGGCTGCCAGGGATCAGTCCATGCCAGCTGGGTGCAGCCATCATCCCCACACCATCATCCCCACATCTTGGCAACACTCTCCTGGGCAGCTCTTCTCTTGCAGGTGGGCTGTGCACAGGGCTTTCGTTACAGTGAACTCTTCCCCAGTCCCATCCAAAGTCAATGACACCATGGCACTCTGGCAAAGACAGTCCGTTTTGGAGAGCTCGTGCTATTCTGGCTGCAAACCTCTTCACCTCTGAACTTTCACACACTTAGATAAAAGGCTCTTACAAAACTGCTTCTCCTGCATTTTGCCTCCATCTGATTCTTTGTGTGTGTAACTCAGGTTGTTAAAAAAAAACAACACACTTTTTACTTCCTGCTCTTCTGCTGCCAAAGGCCACCGTGCAGGTGATGCAAGAGCTGTCTGTGATTGCAGCACAGCTGTGCCCCAGGCACCAAGAGTTGCACAAGGGACAATGATGAGCAGGTGCAAAACCAGCCCCAAATAGAACAGTCCTCCTCTTCCCCCCATCACCACCCCCCCCCCCCCCCACACACACACACATACAGCATAGGGTGGAAATAAGGTTTTTGGTTGTGATACAATGCTCTCGAGGCACCTGGTTCAGGCTCAGAAATGCTGCATTAAGACCAAGGCAGAATTCCAGCACTTGCACGTTCCATTTGGGGCGGGCATCAGCTGCACAGACCCAAGAAGTTGCCATTACAGAGGACAGCACCCATGTACATGACACGCTCATCTGTTGGAGGGGACCATCCTAACCAGTCCAGGAAAATGGAGGTGGTGTTCTCACCACAACCTCTCTCTGGCAATCCAAAGAAATAAAGCTGAATGAAGACAGCTAACCTGGCTGACAGCTCAGGGACAGAGGTCCCTCCTGAGAGCAGCGTGCCTGCGGTGGGCAGCAGTGGCTGTCAGCCCAGGTCCTGCTGGGTAGGCGCAGCAGGGGGACAGGGAGCCAGATTGGTTTGGGAGAAGGACAGCAGCTCCCTGAGCAGCAGGGAACGGCGCGGCCTCTGCGGGCACCTGGCAGGGCATGGAGCTCGTGGCTGTGCCGTTCACAGGAGAACACTTCCAGAGGTGTGCCAGAAATTCCCCATTCCCAGCTCTGCGGTGAGGTCGGAAGGGAGGGCACGAGGCCAGGGGAAGGATTTTGGAGTTTCCTCTCAGGTCTCCCCCAGGGTGCACAGAGCGACTCACGAACCATGGGACAGACGGGCACGGACTTCAA